AAATTATTTAATACATTGTTTAATATACGCAGTAAATATATTTCTTTAATTTACATTTATGTGTAGGCATGTACAAGTATATGCACGATAAGGCAGTTGCCTATAGTTATAGGCGGCTGCCTATATCACAATATGTCTGCCTTTCTTAAAAAAATCCTTGCCTATATAGGCGCTTTTTTTCTCAAATTTTCTTGCCTTTAAATCCGAGCTTTAGTTATTACTATTATTATTATTAATTCACTAGTATTTCATTGTGGCATTTTATATGTGTTATGTAATATAAATTATTTAATACATTGTTTAATATACGCAGTAAACATATTTCTTTAATTTACATTTATGTGTAGGCATGTACAAGTATATGCACGATAAGGCACTTGCCTATAGTTATAGGCGGCTGCCTATATCACAATATTTCTGCCTTTTTTAAAAAAAATCCTTGCCTATATAGGCGCCTTTTTCTTCAAATTTTCTTGCCTTTAAATCCGAGCTTTATTAATAACCTATCCTATTTATTTATTTACTCGCCTATTTGAAATAATCTATAAACCTATATAAGAATGAATGCATGTTTGTCTCTCCATAAAAACTCCAAAATTAGCCATGAACGTATCGAGCTACAAGGCTGAAATTCTACAGGTTTCTTAGTTTATTGGAGAGTAACTTCCTAACTCTTTTAGTTTTTGAGTTACAATTTACGTGTAAGTCTGTGGGAAAAAAAGTACAGGTCAACGTGGGCAACGCCACGGGTCACTCTTCTAGTCCCTTAATAGTTATTTGACATGAATTACATCTGGAAACGTTACAAATCTCTGTATGCGGTTTAGTAAATCCTACTATTATTTATGTTGAACTGATGATTTAATAAACAAACACTATGCCCAAATATATAATGCTTCCAAAAGGTCAGAGCTTGTTTACTTTGCTGCCATTGTTCGTTCTGTTAGCTTTCACATTGAATACATAATGCATAGAACAGGAAATTTAATTAAACCGTTACCAAAGATCATCAAAATGAGTAAAGAGTTTGAAATATTGATTTGCTATGCAAGCAATAATACTAGACACTAATAGTTTAATAAACCGTAGTTGAATAATACTAGAGACTGAAACTGAATAATACAGTTTGGCTTGGAATTTTCTAAAGTGTTCAAACAAGAACGCCATAAATAATCTATATTTACCTACTATATGTGGCATACGCCTGAAACATTTATTTTTATGAAGTACTCATCATGATTTTAAGAATGGAATAAGCACAGACGAAAAGATAAGAAACAAAGTTGCCAAGAAATTGAATAGTAGAAAATTCAACAGTTTCGCTGACTGCATGGCATGTTGCACTTTCCTGTTAAACCCATATACTGTTGAAATTGATATTTTTCAGTTTTGGTACAAAATGGTTAGTTTGCACTACATTTTCATGATGTCGAATGATGAATGCGCTGGGTTACTAAAGAGATTTTTCGTTGGAAATTCATCATCTAATTTTCATTGTTTCAAGTTTGAAATATGTTTTTTTTTGTAAAAACTCGATACAAAGTGGTAGCAGAAACATCTGTTTTCTGAGCGCTGAACCAAATTGATCTAAACTGATCAGCAAAATAGACTTTACAAGGACAAATTTCAGCTAATTTTGGAACTGGATAAATCCTGATTTTACTGCCGACCGATATTTGATTTCGAAGTGTGTGCTTTAGTGCTATTATTTTTCGGTTAGTAATTGGACGCTCAATAAAAACATGCAGTAATGAAGCGGTATTTTGACACCTGCGCAATTGAGTTTAAAAATAAGGGATATCTTAATAAGAACTTGACTGAACTATCTTAATAAAACGGACCTCGGAGGTCCCAATAGGTCGGTTGGGCGCCTTCCGTCCGGAGTTTACACCAACTCTCATTAAAAACGACTCTTGTTTCTTTCCTGGCCGAGTTGCTCTCGATTTTATTCTCGTTCACGCAAATGGCGACGAGCGTCCCTACTTGGAGATTTCTGTCCTGAGTTGTCCTATGTTGGGTTTGTAAGACTCAGGAGCGTCGCGAGCCATCGTAGGTCGGTCTGGGCACGATGTGCTAGTGAGGTTGGGCCTGAATCCCATTTCTGAGCACAGCGTTTGTACCGTTGCTAATGGCCAAAAATGTTCTAGTGCTGGTTAGCTTTGTGTCCCCATGTCTCTGAGGGACAAGACTCATTGTGTCGAGGTTTGGTATCTCCCTGAGCTGTCACACTCTTTAATCTTGGGCGCAGATTTCTGGAAGACTATGGGGATAATCCCTGATTTGAATTTTGATGTTTGGATTTTTGTATCTCTCTCCCAGACATCAGCAGTCTTTATCATGGGTTTGTCTGGAAATGTGGTGGTTGCCCCACCTTTACGGACCACCGTTATTGATAAGAAGGGACGAGCAGTGGGCCCAGCAGGGTCACCGAGCGAAGGGCAATCAAGTACCAGAATTTGCAGAATCAAGTAGCAGAGATTGCCGAACATAGTCGATCACCGTACAATTGACCTCCAAATCCGCCATATTCTGCTGGGTGGTAGATCTGCCCGCTGCTAGAACATCCGTTTGCGAACATCGGACACAGGGACGGTCTGGATGAGATCTGGACCTAGCACGTAGGCATCGGCAGCACGTGGCGGCGGATTCGGAGACTTGCTGGTGTTCGGGGCGAGTATCGCTATTGGTTGTCTATTATAAATTTGTAATTTCTGGAAATTTTCATTTAATTAAGTAGTTAACGTAGGTTACAGATCAAACGGTTAGTACAAACCACGTTTTCTTGTTCTTTATTAAGCTCACCATTTTCCATTTTTTTGTATCATCATTCAAGTCAATGTATGTACTATCACGGTAAAAGAATTGAGTAGGTATTTCGGAAGCATTCCATCGCTGAGTGTTCTAGCTTTGCTGCGAAAGCTAGTGGCGTTCAAACGAACTCACCCTTCGGGCTTTGCAGACGACCGCCCGAAATACCCGCTCAAGGGAAACCCTTTCTTTTCTCTCTCTTTCTCTTTCTATTAAATTGTCATTTAAATCGTTGCATTAATTAAATAGGTTTCATTAAAGATAGATTTTTATTCTTTTGTTCTGTCCTAAATTTGTCGTGTTGCAAAAAAAAAATCGTCGCCGCCACGTGCTGCCGATGCCTACGTGCTAGGTCCAGATCTCATCCAGACCGTCCCTGGCTATCCAGTCCACAGTTTCAGTGGGTCAATATCCCCAGTCGGGAACCAGGAGGCGGCCGATGTCCCCAAACGGATGTTCTAGCAGCGGGCAGATCTACCACCCAGCAGAATATGGCGGATTCGGAGGTCAATTGGACGGTGATCGACTATGTTCTGCAATCTCTGCTACTTGATTCGGCAAATTCTGGTACTTGATTGCCCTTCGCTCGGTGGCCCTGCTGGGCCCACTCCTCGTCCCTTCCCATCAAGAACGGTGGTCCGTGAAGGTGGGGCAACCACCACGTTGCCAGAAAAACCTATGATAAAGACTTCTGATGTTTGGGAGAGATATACAAAAGCATTCACCATTCGACCGTCAGCCACCGTTAGATGAACATCGTTCCTAACCGCAAAACAGTCTATTTGGTAACAAGTGTAGAGGCGTTCGTTTATACTTAGTAACAAGTAAACATCAACTACTATAAAACATATATTTACACTCCCAAACGGTAGACAATGTGTAATGGCAGTTCGTCAGGTGGTCGATCGAGAGAAT